CCATCCTTTCCACCTTCATCTCAATATATCCAAATCCTTCTTCTTATTAGAGCCCAGCTCAAATGCTACCTCTTCTAGGAAGCCCTCTCTTTTATCTGAAAGCAACATTTCCCTCAGGGGTCTCTATTTAATTTCTGATGTCACCTTTCCTTTTCTACCAGATTGGCATAAATGTTTTATCAGCCTTCTAAAGCTCCTGGAATGTGTGAGATGTGTCTTATCTTTTTTATCCCTCATGATGCTTAGTAGAATGCCTTCTCTTAGGTACTCAGTGAGGGTTTGCTAAATGAACAAAAAAGAGAGAGAGAGAGAGAGAAATGAAAAGAATAACCAGGAAGTGAATGGTTTATTCAGAATTACCATCCATTTATTCTAATCTTTTAAAACAAAATAGTTTTATATTTCAAATCTCTCAAAATAGGTCACACTACTTCACCCTGCCTCTGCTGTAAGCACTGGGTCAAGATGAATATTTAGCATCTTTGTTTGTCTTTAGGTCCCTGGGTGGAGCAAATGGTTTGCACTTGACTACTAACCTAAAGGTTGATGGTTTGAACCTACCCAGCGGTGCCACGGAAGAAAGACATGGCAATCTGTGTCTGTAAAGGTTACAACCAAGAAAACCCTATGAAGCAGTTCCACTCTGTAACCCATGGGGTTGCCATGAGTCAGAATCAACTGGAGGGCAATGGGTTTGTTGGTTTGGTCGGTTGGCTGGCTGGTTTGTATGTCTTTAGTCACAAACCTGAACATCCTAGCCCTTCAAAACTCTTAAAAAGTAAATTCGTAAAAAAAAAAAAAAAAAAAGTAAATTTGTAAATTACTTCAGGCCAGCAGGGGGCCTCATGCCGCAACCTGAGTCTCAAAAGAAAGGCCATGGAATGACATAAATTGTAATGACTGAAATGGGATCATATTTGGAGAAGCAAACTCTCTCCCAGATGTGAGAAGTTGGAGATCTTCCATCTTGCCCACCCCTACCCACCTCCTTAAGCTACTTTACAAAGGCTACCTCAGGCTCCTCCTATAAGGGAAGAACCTGCCCTGTCTAGGAAGCCTCCAGGCACGTTAAAACATCTACACCCCTGCAAAGCCGTAAGGAGCAGAGACACCCTTCGCACTTTGAGAACCAACTCCCACGAGGAAAAAAACCCAGATATGAAGCACAATCTTACAATTATCTCATATCGTAAGTTTTTATTAGACAGGAGCTGTCTTTAAAAATGATTGTATTAAAAAACCAAAACCAAACCCATTGCCGTTGAGTCGATTCCAACTCATAGCGACCCTATAGGACAGAGTAGAACTGCCCCATAGGGTTTCCAAGGAGCGGCTGGTGCATTTGAACTGCTGATCTTTTTGTTAGCAGTGGAACACTTAGCCACTGCTCCACCAGGGCTCCATATAGAGATAAGCAGGTGTTAAATGTATGCATATACATGAAGCATGCATATATGTATTAAAAAGGCATCCTGGCCCCACCCAGAGGATCAAAAGCTACCTCTATCACCTGGTGGGATTCCCTCTAAACCCCACGTACCCCAGGGTGCACAGGAACAACTTTTACTACCACCCTGTGCAGCAGGTCTTTGGCCCAGGTGAGAAGTACAATTGCCAGGTGGCTCTGCTCTTCCCACCACACCATCCTGGTTGATTTAAGGAAGTCAGTCAAGGAAGACAGGTGAACGGTAAAAGCAGCTAAGGCCAGAAGCAAGTCTAAAAGAAAAAACTAAATTCGTTGCTGTGGAGTCAATTCCAACTCATAGTGACCATAGAGGACAGAGTAGATCTGCCCCCATAGAGTTCCCAAGGAGCAACTGGCAGATTTGAACTGCTGACCTTTTGGTTAGCAGCCATAGCACTTAACCACTATGCCACCAGGGTTTCTGAAGTAAGCTCAGGACAGACAAATCACAAACCCTCAACCGTACCTCCTTCCACCACCACCACCTCTAAGAGAGAAGGAGCCAGAAGAAGAAGAGGAAGAGGAGGAGCAGGAGAAGGAGGTGGGAGGAAGGTAGGAGATATCCTTGTCTCCTGGGCAGTATAATGATTTTGAATTTACAAGATCTGGTTATGAATCCCAGCTTTATTTTTAGAGTAGCCAGGTGATCTTGAGAAATTAATCCTCATCTTTAAAATACAGTTACTTTTTCAGATGGAAACACTTAGTAAACTATGAAGTACTGTATAATTGAAAAATTGCCATTTATAACGTTATCTAATGTTGACATCAGCTTACTTAACAACCCAACCTATAATTAGGCAGCAAACAGCCTCTGTTTTGATTCACTAGCTTTAATATCAGGCACTTTGTGTAACCTTGACATTATCCACAAAGGCTTCCTAGGTCCAAAATAATCTGGAAAAAGCACCTGTTACACGGATGAATAATAATTGACATTTTCTTTATATATATATATATTTAATTTTCAAAGTGTTTTCATTTACATTTGAGTTATTATAAAGGTATTTTTAATATGTGTTATAGATTGACTTGTGTCCCCCCAAAATGGGTGTCAACTTGGCTAGGCAATGATTCCCAGTATTGTGTTTGTCCAATATTTTGTCATCTAATGTGATTTTCCTATGCGCTGTAAATCCTACCTCTGTGATATTAATGAGGTGGGATTAGCAGCAGTTATGTTAATGAGGCAGGACTCTATCTACAAGATTAGGTTGGGTTTTAAGCCAATCTCTTTTAAGCTATAAAAGAAAGAAGCAAACAGAGAGACACGGGAACCTCATACCCCCAAGAAACAAGAGCCAGAAGAACAGTGTGTCCTTCGGACCCAGGGTCCCTGCACTGAGAAGCCCCTAGACCAGAGAAAGATTGATAACAAGGACCTTCCCCCAGAGCCGGCTTAGAAAGCTTTTCCCTGG